AGGAGGAGGAGGAGGAAGAGGAAGAATCTAGAATAATCTAGACTACACAAGAACAGAGACAAGAGATAGCTCAGTGGTCTAAAGTGCTTGTTTAGGCAAGCTTAGGTAGGCATAAGGGACCCTGGTTTGATCCCTGGAACCACATACCACACCAGCCCCACCCTCAGGGCAGGCTGAGCTGGCAAAAAAAAGCACAGAGACAACTAACCTAGCTCTGATATTTGGAAGTGCTGAGGAAGCGGTATCAAATAAGAAACCATGCAAGATATTGCTAGGCAGGTTATAAAGTCTCTAAGCCTAACAAAGAGGGTTTTGTTGTTTGTTTAGTCTTGTTTTTCCAGTACTAGAGATTGAGCCCAGAACCTTGCACATGGTAAACAAGTGCTCTATCACTGAGTTACATTTCCAGCCCTTTTATTTTTTTATTGCATTATCGATTTTGATGCAACTTCTCATAATTGCCAAGGCTGGCCTCAAACTTGTGATCCTCTTGCCTCAGCTTCCAGAGTAGCTAGCATGACTGACATAAGCCTCTGTGCCTGTTGAAGGCATTTCTTCAGTGATCAACCATAAACCTGATTGGGCCAGGTGGATGGCTCATTGGTGGGTTACCACCTAGAGTGGAACACAACTCACATTCCAGAATACTGCTTGCATGAAGAAGCTAATGAAAAAATTGAGGAGTATATGCAAAAAAAAAAAAAAAAAAAAACACCACAAACAAGTTTTGTTCTTGAGTGATAGGATTATTAATGATTTTCTTCTGTGTATTACAAATATTTTCTACTGTAACACATTTTATTTACAGAATAAACAAATACTACCAAATATAAGTAATACAAATAAATGGCATCTTCTAAAATATAATAAAAAGCATTTAAAGACTTTCAAAGTTTCAGTTTTTAATAGTTAACTCCAGTAGCATAATTATTAATTTCTATATAAGGAAATGGGATAGAATGCCTCACACGAAGGTCTCAAAATCAATTACCCTGATGGCCAGTGGGCCCCTGGTTTTAGTTTCATTTTAACAGCATATTGCCTATTGTCCTAAAAAGCAAATGAGCATAAACACATTTTCTTCCAAATTATTTCTAAAAAAATCATTTTACCTGAAGTTCTCATATTCTTCTGCTTGTCGTTTCCACGGGCAACTTCTTATATTTGTGATCATCTGAAGGTACTCATTCTCTGAATATCTACAAGGGAAACGGGGAAATACATTAAGAAACGTTCAACACTGCTGGCCATGAGGGAAATGGAACAACTCTGAGATTCCATCTCACCCCAGACAGAATGGCAATCATCAAGAAATCAAATAATAACAAGTGTTGCTAAGGCTGTGGGGAAGAAGGCACCTTCTACACTGTTGTTGGGAATGTAAACTCATACAATCACTATGAAAATCAGTACGGAGGGCTGGTGAGATGGCTCCGTGGTCTAAAGCACCTTCTTAGAACAAGCTAAGCTAAGCAAAGCACAGGGACCGTGGTTCAATCCCCCAGCACC